TTAATTTCATGATACATCTATGACTCGCAACACATTAGAGTAGTTGATTTATTTGCATAGATGCGATGGAATTTAGTTGTCACTTTCTGGAAGTTTCAATGGGTCCCTATTGTTTGTGATACAAGAACAACAAACAAATAAAATGTATTCTTGGTGCTAATTTTGATGGCACATTTTCTGAGGATTTCACGATGAAAGAGTAGATTTAGTTAAGAGAGGAGGGAATGTATAAGTTTTTCATCGTACTCTCTTCCTCATTGTTTTTCCTTTGTACAAGCGTAGTTTTTTCTTTTTTGCATTGGATTGTATTGGCTGATAAGCCTTTTAACCTGCAGATCTATTGCCAATTCATGACTTTGTCAGCATGGTACAGGTTCCATGTTTGGCTAAACTTAAAGATTTGCTCATTAGTAAATAAGTTAGTTTTAAAATAATTTTTTCTATTGGTCATAGTTGAAAATGAATAAATTACTAATTTGAATTAAGCTAACCATGCCATAGTATCAAAGTAAGTAACAGAATAGTAACTATCAACAAAAAATTTACTTATAAGTATTCTTAACTATCGACCTTAGCTAAACATCTTGAAGAACTTATTTCGTGCTTGTTTGATAAAGATTTTTTGTGAAATGATTCTTTGATAAGTGTGTATTTTTATTTTTTTTTAATGGGTGGTTAAAAAGCATAGAAACGATATGGGAATTATGAAAAATAAATTTTTTGGGGGAAAATTTGGTTGAAAATGAGTGTCTGTGATAAGTGTTTCTTAAAGCATCAAAATCTCATCTCGCAATTATATTTTCAAATTTTTTAAACGAGTGATGTGGAAGAAATGAACAATGAGGTTCTTGACTGTAACTTAAAAGAAAAGGAGATTGCACAAATTGGAGGTGGGAAATTGCCCAGATGTATGTCACTGTTCTTGTGCCAGGTTTGGATTAGATTGCAAAGAATTTGTTGCAGGCTGAGCTGAAAAAGAGGTACAGTGAATCTTCAGAGAAGCCCCGAAGGCACATGAATATTTCCATTTAGTTAGTTAAAGTAGGGGGAGGGGTATTATAGGATTTGGTAGAATAAATTTTATAGGATTCTAACTATGAACGGGGGGGTTAAGGTGTTCATTTCATTTATGCAGAACAGAAATTGGGTGTCAAATTGAGAGAGAATGGGCCTCTAGGTAACTCATCAAACTATTGTAATTCCACTTTGTCCTTTCATTCAGTAATGCAAATCCGGGTTCCTATCACCTTCCTTGGGGAGTGGGTCATCTTCGGAGGTGGAAAATTGGGTGGAATAGGCATAAATAGGTGAGGGCGGTGATATATAAAAAGTTACCTACACACGTCAATCCATTTGTTAAATGGGTCACAGGGTCAGAGCTGGTTTAACCATTAGGAAGGTGAGTAGTTGCCTAAGACCCCTATTTATAGAGGGCCCATAAATTTTAATAAGAAAATCAATTGTTAAGATTCTTTTACTTCTTTTACTCGGGAGACACAAATGTTTGCAATTGAAGTCAAAAAGTACAAAAATTTGAAGAAATCTGATAATGAAAAATATTTCTCCAGTATACAGTACTCCAAACCAAAGGCACCAAGAACAAATGCCTTTTACATTAGGCTGTATGGATATTTCAACAAATTCATTAAGAATTAAATAATACTTTTCAGGATTTCTAGAAGTAGATGAAACTTCAGGAAAAAGGCCTCTTTAGTGAACTTACAAGTAAAATTCCAAATCTAAAACCTGATAATAATTATGCAAGAGAACAAGGATATGATAACGGTTCTAACATGAAAGAAATCAAGAAGGCATACGAAAAGGATTATTGCAGATTAATCGTCAAGTGCTTGTAGTTTTGAATCATTACTCTAGTATGTTGTTTTCTTGAACTTTTCGAGTTGTTTAACCCCTGTTTGGTACGAATTAAAATAACATTTTTAGTAAATTTTGATAAAGTTAATGAAGCTGTTGAAAAGTTGTGGATTCCACGATATATGTGGTTAAAACTAATTGTTGAATTTGATCTAGATTAAAATCTAAATTTTAATCTCTGCCAAACAAGGATTTAATATTTAATAGTCTTTTCTAAACCTAAATGATGGAACATATTGAAGTCACATATCAAATTTAAGCCTCTGTTTGGGAAGAATTTATAATCTGTTTAATTTATAAATAGATATAAGTGAGTTGTGGATAAATGCATATATTTTTGGGTCTATTGAAATATGTAATTGAAAATGATGTTTGATTAATTGATAATGTACGAATGATTTATAAATTTTGCCTAGCAGAGGCTTAGGTTAATAGTTAAATTGTTGTCACAAACTCATGGAGAAAGTGGTACCAGAAGTATCTGTATTGAGAAGTAGGTTTTTCCTTTGCAATCATGAAATTTGAAATCCAAGAAGAATATTGGATCTTGGTTTAGGTAATGTCAAGTCTTTCCCCTTGGTGGTTCAAAATTCCCTCCTTGTGAAGTAATGTTTGAAGAATAACGTTTTAGTCATGGCAATTGATCCAATTGAAATGATCTCTCTGAAATAAGTGTCACCTCTACCCTATTCCCTTGAATATGCAGTTAATATGGTTATATTGTTCGACTAGATGAATTCTTTCCCCATAGTACATCCTAACCGAGCTAACACCATATAGCTTCCTCCGGCAAGCATGAAAGGACCCATTTCTCTGATGTGTATCATTTGATGACATCAGACTTCATGTTTTGTTTCTTAATGACACTAAGACCTCTGAAACTTGTTTATGTCCAAAGTGCTGAAACATGGTGATGGTGTCTCCAAAGTACGTAAAAGCCTTAAAATGCATAGAAATAGGACATTTATTGAGCTTCTTGAATGTTAGACTGGTTTGGTAATCCCGGTGAGTTATTTGACCCAATCTACTTGTGTCGTGTACTCGAATCCTCGTCTGTCGGTGCCTTATAAATCTCTTATTGACTGCTGTTGAAATGCCCTCTACAGGTAACTAATCTAGTCGATCAGTTGCTGGGGAATAATCGGCCACCAATGTGAAGGAGATAATTTTGCACCGAACATGGCTGGTAATGGACCAAGAACCTCAATATGAGAAAATGGGAAATAGAAGATGACAGTTATTACTCTTCAGAAGTAGAACTATCCGTTTACATGCCCTGGCACTCTAATATTCTGGTTATATTTAGGATATGTTTAATTGTAAGTATGAAACTTGCGTGGAAAGCAAATAAGTTATAGACAAATGGAAATTGTCAATTAAATGTGTTTGATTAGCTTAATTTTAACATAAAAATTATTGTACTTTCCTATGTAGTTGAGTTTTTAGAAAGTGTGAATTGTCTAGAAAATACAAACTTACCTCCCATAGAGATATACTTTCCTTGTCTTTTAGAAAAACAATTTCACATGACTACACTTCTGAAAATTATTTTTCATGGAATAAAGGTCAGTCAAATATTTCAAAAATTGAAATTTGGGTGAACTCGATAGTTTGTGTGTGTATATGTCAGTTGTATAATGTTAAAGAACCGAGACCCCACAAATGGGGATGGGCCCGCAAAAAAAAAAAAAAAAAAAAAACACGGAACCTCCCCTTATTTGTGGGGTTTGTCAGGGAGGTTGTTTCTTTAGCATAACCCTACGTTAAATCTCGTCTGAATGATTTAGAAGGTGAAAATAAAGTGAACGTCGCACAAAATCAAACAATTAAACGTGGAATTGAAGTTTTTAATGTGGGTCTGGTCCCTTTGGATGAACATCAATCGGTCTATTTCTAAAGCTATAAATAGGGTGGTGGAGTTGGTGATGAGTATCAATTAACCCAATTGAATAGGGAAAATACTCGAACGCCAAAAGTTTGAGGCAAGTGTGATCATAGAATGATCGACACCATACAGGGCAAAGTCATTGAATTCGATAAGAAAATATGGGGTCCTTAAGAGCTGGGACCCTCTATTGTCCTTGCAAAAGTAAGAACATGAAATGGGGGACCAATTATTACATCAGAACTAAAAAATTAAAAAGAAATGAAAATGGGGACAAATAATTCTGATGAAACCAAATTGCATGAGGACTTTATCCTGAATGAGAACAGTTCGATTTCTAATCTTGCTTCTTGTAGAAAAATTTTCTTAAAAAAAAAAAAAAAGAGCATCTTTCATGAATTTTCTTTACAAATTCTCTTAGCCAGATAAATGTCTTCCCTTTAAGAAATTATCCAAACTTATTTTAAAACATCTTTTTAGTTTCAAAAGCAACTTTCGATTCCCTTTGCATTCAATTTTTTATTCATTCATGGTACTCGACCGGTGCCCCTTTCTCATCTCAAACCAAAACAACTATGAACATTAGGGAAGATAAGTTCCAAGTTCATTTGAGCTGTCCCCTTTCTCCTCTATGGATTGCGGGTCACTTACTATATTCATGTACAGTAGGGGAGGGGGGGGATTGGTTATGTAAAAGATGGGATCAGTAAATGGAAATTCAAAAAGCATTGTCACATAAAACCTAGGTATTATATAGTTTGGTCCCAACTGATTTTCTTTCTATCAATTTAGCTGTGAATTGAAATGGAAAATAAAACCTAAAATTATTAGATTAAGACATTCTCTTGAATATATAATCTAACACAATCATGGATTACTTAAAACCTTATGCCTCATGATAATTAAAAACAATATAAAATTCTGTTAAGAGGAATGACAACAGCTGAACATGTTCTTGTAGCACATGGGATTGGTGCAATTTTTCTTCGTTCCTTTGCACCGGAAAGTCTACATATGAGGTACCCTCTGTTTAAAGGCATGTGACGAAAGTGACAGTGACAAAAAGTCCATCATTCCTAGAAAACAGAATACAAAATGTAACTAAAAGCTGTATTTTCATATGATCGTACAAGGACAATGACCTCTCTATAACTACGTCAAGGAAAGCATGTGCCCAAAAATATGGTCTCCAATTTAAATAGAGACTACCCACCGCATGGTTACCATGGCGTAGTCATGGTTGACTGTAAATCTGTTGAAGTTTTTATACGTGACTTGAATAAGAACAGAAAATAATGAAAAATTAGCGAGAATTGAAGATCAAAAATAATTGAAGCAATGAGAACATCGGAATTCCATGATACACCATGGCATATCTGATGACAGGTTTCAGTCCATCCCGGCATGACTATAGATTATCTAAAAGCATAAGTAGTAACCTAGGACTTATCTAGATTACATTCGAGGTATACCCGGTAGCTGTTTCAATAGTTGAAACGAGGTTCAATTTACATTGTCTATACACCATTAACCCCTGCATCAATGCTTCCATCTTCCATAATCTTGCCGTTTATTTGAGTTCTTGGCCTCTGGAAATTATGCCATGAGCAATTTTAAGAAACTGTTCCACGGGCTAAATAAAAGTTTATTTGCAATCCCCAAAAAGAAAAAGTACCTTGTCGGAAGGGTCTCCAGAATTTCCATTCAAGAGCCTGTGATTTTCTTCCTTCGTCCTGCCATCCTTGCTCAATGGAAGCAACATTGTTGAAGCTCCACGATCAGGCAGTTCTAAAAAATAGAACCCGGGTCAAAATGCGAATGTTGAAGCAGATTTTGGGCCCAGAGACAAGAAAGAAATGCTCACCTGGCAACTTCTTGTCAACAAAGAACACCACCAAATTAACTGTATACCTGTAACATAATCATGTGTTTAGATGTACATCAGACAGCGTTAACATGTTAAAAATACTGGATGTGAAATGCTTTACCATGATACGACGACATCAACTGTGTAGTGCTTGCGGGATGCAATGATCAACAAGCTTTGGATCACAACGGTTAACCAAGCACACTGCTTTACAAACCTGCAATTTCATGTCAACAAATAGGTTGATATCATATGACCATGAACATAATTGGGGGATCATATAAGACAAATGGCCTCAAATTGTTGAGAAATTTAGTCCAAACTATGGAGATAAGCATTTCGGGCATAAGTAATTTATTTCTATAATTTCTTCAAATATCTTCATTCCCTTGGCACAAGTGTCAGACATTCCTTCCATGCAATGCAATATAATAAGAGGTGCAATTTGCTATTACCTTCGGGTGCCATATTTATGGTATGTCCGAACAAAGACTAGAGAGAAAATCATGTGAGATGAAAATATCAAATCACCACAACCATAAAGCACACCACTAGGAACTGCACAATCATAAAAATTCAAGTGAGCAAAAAAAATTGGAAAAAAAAAACACTTAAACAACTAGAGGAAAGGGGAAATAAGGCAAATGTCACCTATTAATAGAACTTCTAAGATGCTATCAGGACGTGGAAGCCTGGCAAGCTTTGAGCCCTATATCAGAAGGAACAGATTTTCAATGCTAAATTGTCCAGCCCACATTGAAATTCTAGCGAGAAAAGAAATTATGCAAAATTGATTTAAAAAATTCGATTTTTTTTTTTTTACCTCGCGACAGTGATAGTTTGGGCCAGGGAGTTGAGTAGAATAAAAAGTTATAATCCGAAGAATTTGACAAGCCTACAGCAACATAAAAGAGGAAACTATTATGACAATATTAAAGATTTGGTTCCATACAAAATACATTGATTACTGCTGCAAATGTTGTTATAGTAGGATCTATCATTTTATAAATGTGAAGGTTGGATTATATGCACAACGTCATTAAAAATTCGAATGACAGAGAAATAAATAACCCGTGACATTAAAACACATTCATGAATATGCTCATCCAGGAAGAAAAACCAGTAAAAGATCCATTCTCATTTCCCTCTCCAACCAACTCCGGATTCATGTGCAAAGAATATTCTAGAAACAAAGAAATTATACTCACAACTAGGAATGCCAGAATCCTACACCATATCAGAACTGTGTAAATCTTCTTGCTTTTGAAAACAAAGGGATGGAAAGTCCACTGCAATAGAACATTAACCATATTTACAAATATTAAGGATTGCGATCTTCACAAAATGACGATCAGAAGAAAATCAAAACCAAGAGAAAACTCACCAAGACAAAAAGTAGAAACATGCAGGTAAATACAGTTTCACTTATATAAGCTTTGTCTTTTCCGAGCTCCTGCAGATAAGAAGGTTGTAAATGAGTAAAGTTCTCAAAGAGTAAGCATCCATTAGTAGTAGTAAGCAACATGAAGTACAAAAATGTATTTTGCTTACTGGAAGAAGAAAGAAGCCAACGTCCTGAAGTATGGGTCCTGGTCGATGTATATAATGAACACCTCGAGCAGCCAGTCCATGGATGTACTGAGTAAAAGACATGTTAGACATTAGAAATCAAGAACAGCATATAAGCAAGAAGGAAAGCCAACAAAAAGAAGCTAAATTGATAAAACTATAGCTAAATTCAAGCGTAGAACTGATTTTGATTAAAGAAATAATTCGTTTAAGGAATTATCAACTAGAATCAATATTCGATGAACCAGTTAGGAAATATTATGAGATATCCACTAAGAGAAGATTATTAAGACTGCCCCCATGGCAAGGGTCTTCCATAAAATCGACTCACTGTTTTGCACAAACACATACCCTAGGTACAGAATCAGAGTGAATCCGAGCTTTTATAAGCATTAAATAGCGAAAACATCTGCTATCCATTCATGAAAACATAATTATTGGAATTGTAATCATTCCTTAGTGAAACGTTTCCATCAAGTCACCATAATTCAAAAGCTGTATCCACAATAAAACACATACATGTTGTTCTCTAACCAGAAAAAAACATAAATTACAAAAAGTCAAGTTTAACAACATTCATCTCGAATAAATTAGCAAGTACAAAACAAATTGCCCATAACTTTAATCTAAGAAGAGCACTCAATAGTACAATCAAGAAGAAATTGATAAATGCAAGAATAAATATATACATACAAACCTGACAAATTAAACCTCCTAAAATATACTTCCAATTTTCTGCAAGAAGATTGATTTCTGTAGTTGTCTCCGCACAAAACCTCTTCCATAACTTCTCATCACAAGAACAACAATAATACATCAACAAACAATTCTAACAAAACAGGGAAAAAAAAATTTCTCTCTTTTTTTTTTTGTTTTTTTTTTTTCTGAAAAGCAGAAACCTAATTTAGCAGTGGAGAGGAGACGAACCTTTGAAGCCCCGCGACCAATGTAAAGCGACATCTTCTATGTATGTGCGAACAAACAAAACTTCCATATTACATCACAACCAAACTGTTTCGAATGTCAACATCATCATCTCCGTTCAGTGAAGAGTTAACCAATATATCCCAGAATTACGCTCAAAAACTCCTTCAAGATCCGATGAAGTAAAAACCCAGTTGCTAAATCAATGATCCTTCAAGATAATGATCGATTCTTGCAATGGTTGTCCAAAAAATATAAAAAACTGTATTGTTGATTAATCGAAATCCACAACTAACAAACTTCAAAGAGGAACTTTTTTCTCTCTCTAGAAACAGGGTTGCCTTTCCATTTCTCTCTCTAAAGATGCCTACTGAAACGCGAGATGAACACGGAGGGACAGTTGCAAGTGAGAGAGCGAGGATTTTTCACACACGTAGAAATTAAATTTCGCTGCTTACCAAAAGTAGAGGAAATTCGTGACTGATATAGACCTCCAAAAAAATATTCTTTAATACACAAAAATGGAATTTACTTCGTAATTATTTCTTAATTAAATTAATAAGGTAATGTTCTTCGTTCTTCCCCTGTTTGTGATTTGTTCAAGGTACAATGTACGAGTTAGCATTTTCAAATGATAAAACGTTGGTAAAGTCGAATTCATTTGACAATCGGGCCATAGCCTGCATATGGTTGAAGTATATTTAATCCTTGTTTGACAATTTTTCTCTTTTAAGATTTTTTATAGAAGTTGATAAAATGTATGGTTAAGAAATTATAAAATTAATGAAATATATAGTTAAAATTAATTATTGATTTTAAATTAAATTAAAATTAAAATTTTAATCAATATCAAATGTGGACTAAAAGTTTATCAAACTTGGCACCTGTTAGTTTGTGATTAAGAGAATTAATTTTTTTGACCTTAGAGAGAGAGAGAGAGAGAGAAGTGGGTCCACCTATGAGTGAAAAAAAATGACAGTTAAAATAGTGAAATAATGATAAAAAAAATTGATTTTTGGGATGAAAATTTGATATCAAATGGGACTTAATTTTTTTAATCATATGAACTCACAAATTTTTATATGGAACTCATAAACTTATAAATTTGAAAAGATTTGCAAACATAGGCTTAATATTTTATTAGTTTTATGTACTTGGCCCCGTTTAATTTTCATTTTTCTCAAAAATGTATTTTTACTCTCGAATTTATTATTACTTCACGTGAAAAAAAAGGAAAGAAAGTCAAAAAAGTCAGACAAGAAATTGCTGAATTTTCTACTTTGGAAATGAAACTATTTTCTAGAAGAATGTGAAATAATTAAATATTAACCTTATATTAATTTCGTAAGCATAATGTACTTACAATTGGATTATTTGTTTTACAAATGTAATCTAATTAACAAGTTACATTTCTGGTCATGTTTGATATTTTACTAATAGTAAGTACGTGCGTCGCACATCTTATGTGCGGAATGAATTATATACGTAATATTTTTTAAGTTAGGCAATTGATAATGTAAAATGAAAAAATTAAGTTGTTAAAGAATATACATATAAATGAAAGTTTTATTAAAATTACGTGAAATGATTTGTTTATGCTAGACTTTGGCTGGACCCTATCTTCAACTATTATAACGACATCAACCAATTTTATGGTACATGTAGGCACGAAGAAAAATCAAATTAAAAGATGTACATCTGATTAAGTTCAAAATGTTTACGTATAAGTAAACTAAAGGTACGTAAATAATTTTCAAATTTAAAAAATACTCATTTTGTCTGTACCATAAACTTTTTTCTTGATGGATAATTTCTTTCATCATCAATTCATTTTCTCCTAATTGTTGATCACATTTAAGCAGTTTTTTCTTTTCAATTTATTGTTCATCCTATTTAAATAGTTATATTATCAATTATTAATTAATTAAATGTGAAATTTATAAATTTTGAATGAAAATATTGACAATGTTATATAAAAATAAAATTGTAAATTGAACATTTCTCATCTATCTCCACATTTTATTTTTATATATGTTGTACTTTTAATATAATTATATAAGTAGATGAATGTTGATTTTAAGTGAAGCTCATGTAAATAGATAATAAATAATACACACACACACAAACGCACGTATAAAATAACATTATAATATATTAAAGGTGACACTAATGATAGATTAATTAAAATTTAATTTCATGTAATCTTCTTTTTCAGTATATAGTTCATTTTTCATATTGGAGTACTCGTAATTTTAGATTAATTAAATTAAGTTTATTCACTTAAAATCAAAGCTCGTCAATATATATAATCATATTAAAAATATAGTGAGCTCAGATTTTAAATGGTAAACTTAATTTCAATAATGTAATTTAAGTAATTAAACTTAATGTAAAATTTTAAGTACTCCAATAAAAAACAATAAGTATTACATTTAAATGGATATCAAATAAAGTTAAATTATATTAAATGATATTCTGTTAAATATATAATGGTAGAATTGACATATAACTAAAAAAATATAAGGGATTTTTATTAAAAGCAATAATTCAATTTATTCAACATGATATTGAAAATGGTTATTGTTTAAGGAACTCAAATGATGGCCCTAAATTCTCATTTTGATATTTTAAAAAAAAAATTTTAATTTGATTAATAGAATTATTTCAAAATGAAATTGAAAAATGGATGTTTAAGGAGCTCAAATGATGGCCTTAAATAACCATTTATAGAAATTAAAAAATATTTTTTAATTTAATTAATAGCATTACACTTAAAATAGATATTAAATAAAGTTAAATTATAATAAATTGTACTATATTAAATATATAAGGGCAGAACTGGCATATAGCTAAATAATTAAGGGTAAAATTGGTATTCAAAAGTTTCTCCTCAATCTATACTTTTAATATATTATAGATAGATGTAGATATATGATTTTCATTAACATTGTATTGATGCTATTTTAATATAAAGAAATTCTGGTGAAAAAATATTTAGATAATTATGATCCACGTGGCACTACCTTGCGAGATGATGTGATTTTTAGACATTTAATGTGGATAAATAATTAATTATTTCACTTAAGATAATTCAGAATTAACTAATTTCAAAAAATTCTTAGATATATCGCTAAAAAATTATCTATTATTCATCTGAATAAGTCTTCAAGTACAGGATGGTTTCACAGGGATTTGCCGAAAATTTGAATTTGATGACTTGTAAGCTTTAAAAAAAAAAAGGCAAACAATCGAACAAAAAGAGGGAAAACCACAAATTACTTTCAGAATTCCCTCCACCAAGACTGCACAAGTTCATACCTCAAAATAGCCCACCTCGTCGGTGTCAACTGAACTCCTCCGTTTTCCGCGGTCTCCATCTCCAACCACAGATTTCCCACATCTTTGACGGCATTGACTGAAACCATTTAGTGTTTGTGAGTTTTCCCGTATCTTCGACGGCGTCAACTTATAGAGTTGGAAGGTACCGCTATATTCGAAACTTTTTACTTACTGAAAAAACTTATTCTAAATTTTTGCCATTTTTGTCTTGTGTGTATATAGTTGAAGCATATAAAAAAAATGGCGATGGTAGTTTTGTCTATGCCTCGAAACTTTTTACTTACTGAAAAGATATTCCTAAATTTCTGCCCTTTTTGTCTTATGTGTATATACTTGAACCATATAAAACAAATGGCGATGATTGTTTTGTCTATGCCTACGTTGTCTGCAAACTGAAAATGAGAAGGAAAAAAAAAATTAGTTGAATCGGACTAAAACACAAGTTTTTTAACAAGCTGCGAGCCCTTCCTGGTGTGCAAAACAAATTTATTATTATCAATCAAATCTAACAATCCTCCCTTAGGAGAGTTCACATGCAAACTTCAAAATATATTTGGGGCATGGAATTAGAATATTGATTGCAGACTTTAAAAAAGATTTTGTTTAGCCCCAGTGATCTAACAGTCTGCTTGTTTGTTGTCGGCAAATATTATTGGGCTATTATGCGTTAATGTCTTCGTAATGCTTATTTCATCTCAGGATTAGGAACTATGGAAGAGAAGCATCATGACTTATTGGTTGAAACTAGGAATAGCAATGTCACGAATGAGAACGTAGGTGAAAATGATAACTTTGGAGGAGATGGTGTGAATGTACCCGAGGTGGGTATGAAGTTCGATGATGAGAAAGAAATGTTTGAGTTCTATAAAAAATATGCTTATGAAGTGGGTTTTCCAGTTAGGAAACGGAATTCAAAAAAGGGGAACGATGGTGATGTGCGATTTGTAATGTTTACTTGTAGCCGTGAGGGCAGAAGAAGTTATGGTACAAGAAATTCTTTGAAGCAGCAACCAACTAGTCAAACTAATTGTAAAGCAAGGATCTCGGCGTCTTTATTGAGTAATGGAAAATGAAGAGTAAATACAGCCAACTGGATCACAATCATAAAATGAGTCCTTCGAAATCAAGGCTGTATCAATGCAATCGAGAGCTGACTGCAAATATCAAACGAAAGCTTGAAGTGAATGATATTGTAGGAATTTCATTACACAAAAGCTACAATTTTGTAGTGGTGGAAGCAGGCGATTATGAGTCTATCACATTCATCGAGAAAGATTGTCGAAATTATATTGAACAAGAACGACGGTTAAGACTCGCAGAAGGAGATGAAGCCACAATACAAGCTTAATTTGCGAATATGCAAGCACGGTGCTTAGGATTTTACTTCAGTATGGATTTAGACGATGAGTCCTAGCTTAAGAATGTATCTGGGCAGACCATAGGTGTAGACAAGCGTACAAAGAGTTCAGTGATGTTGTCACATTTGATACAACATACCTCACTAACAAGTATGACAAGCCGTTTTTCCCGTTTGTTGGCATCAATCATCATGGGCAATCAACACTGTTTGGTTGTAGCTTGATAGCTAATGAGGACACCAATATATTTGTGTGGTTACTCCGGACATGGTTGCAATGCATGCACGGTCAAGCACCAAATGAAATAATTACTGATCAAGATAGGGCAATGCAGAATGCAATTAAGTTTGTATTTCCACATACGAAGCACAGGTGGTGTCTGTGGCATATCTTGAAGAAGTTACCTGAGAAGTTTGGCTATCATGATGACAAGGCTTCGATATTTTTTACTATACATGGATTAGTGTGTGATTCGCATACCGTTGATGAGTTTGAAAAAGGGTGGAGAGCGATGATTGATATGTACAAGTTGTATGACAATGATTGGTTGGCGGGATTGTTTGCAAACAGAGGACGTTGGGTTCCATGTTTTTTGAAAGCCACATTTTGGGCCGGAATGTCCACAACGCAACGAAGCGAGAGTATGAATGTGTTCTTCGATGGATACATGCATTCGAAGACCTCTTTGAAGCAATTTGTTGAACAATATGAAAGAGCACTGTGGAACAAAGTTGAAAAGAAATTTCAGGCTAACTTCAAGTCGTACGTGCAAATGGTAGTGTGTGTAACGAATTTCAATATGGAAAAGCAATTTTAAAACGTTTACACCATATCAAAGTTTGGGGAGGTTCAGAATAAGTTCATTGGGAAGGTTTACTGTGAAATCATTTCTATTTCAAAGGGTTTTATAGAGACGATTTACGAGGTACGGGAAGATGTCCTGCTATATGAAGAGCATCGAATGAAAAGGACCTTTTTTGTGTCATATACGAAGGAGACACAAGACATTGTTTGTAGTTGCTACCTGTTCGAGTTCTGAGGGATATTTTGTAGGCATGCAGTCACTGTTTTGATTCGTAATAATGTCAAGTTATTATTGGATAAGTTTATATTGTGGCAATGGAGGAGGGACATTAGTAGAGCACACACGAGGATCGCAGTTTACTATGCTGAGTTGGTCAATACTCTGGCACAGTTGAGGTACGAGGATATATGTCGAGCATTTTCAGAGGTGGATGGCCTTGTTGCGAATGATTAATAGCGGAGTTGTGCAGTAATGGAGTGGATAAAAGTTCAGGCGGAGGAGCTCAAGTCGAGTAGTGGTGCTCATCCAAGTCATGTAATCTCTCACAGGATCGGTTCTCAAAAGCATTTGAGCATCAACGTACTAGATTACATATCATCGAAATGAAAGGGTACACCAAGGAAACTTCGACGAAAATGACCGTTGGAGTTAACATCAAAGAAAGCAAAGGTATTTTTTTCTATTTCATTACTATTTTAAACTGAGTTCAAACCACTATTCTAATATGAATTTGATGTACTTGCAGGCAACTTCGACATCAGCAAAAGGCAGGAGACCGAAAGGTAGTCATAGTACTGTGGAAGGAGCTGCACCAGATGTTAACGCCTTTGAACAGTGTTCATCACTATCGCCATTCACATGTTCGCAGTCCTTTTTGGTATGTATGTTTTTAGGCCATTAGGTTTATATTTTTCAGTTCATTAATTTCATTTGCTATGAGCCTTATTTTGGATGTTACGCAAATGTAAGCTGACAGTGGCAGTCAACAAGAGTTACAATGAACAAATTGTGGATTTCACTTTTGCGCATTCAAGCACTTGAACATTGAAATTTTTGATTTCATTCGGGGCTATTTAGTTGTAGCTAACGTTTGGTTAATTTTCAAGTCGATGAAACTTGATGAGCCTTCTTTTGGAATGGTCTCGAAGTGTAAATATTTTGATTTCATTTTTGAGCTAATTTGGTGTGCATTCTTCATCCATATGTGTGGATGTTTTCTATATTTTTTACTTGATGGATAGTTTTAGAATTGGACAATTTTTACTTGATGGTGAATTTATATTCTTCATGAGTTTTGTGGTGAATGTATGCATTCTTTAAAATTGCCAGTTATCATTTGAGGCGAGAAACTACCATTGTAAAGTCTAAAACTAGGTTTGTTGTCATTCACAAAAATTTTGTATGCTCTAGGTTCTTGCCAAACTAGTATACTAGCACTTGTCATTTTCTATGCTCTAGATTTCTCGTCATTCACAAAACTTTTGAACTGATCGTGTTGTGTATCATCCATATTTTTAAATGACAAAAGTCTATGATAGTGCAACTTGAAGCTGAAAACTGATAAAGTTTTAGGCATCTTAATACCTAAAACTTTCCGACATCAAAATAGCTCCACTCAAACCAAGAAAGCCATATCAAAAACAACAAAAAATTAAGCAAACACAAATTCTTGTGTTGATAAACAAGCAATTCAAAGTCTCATTATAGTAAAATGAAGTCCACAACTATCAAGTACATATATTCTCTTAAAATACCATTGTTCGATAGCTAATACAACACGAACACAATACAAATACAACTCGTTCGACAACTAACTACTACGCATGCCGTGCCGGGCCCTTTTCTTTCCCATACTCGTCTGCTTATCCTTTTTCCTTACGAAATGTCACGTCATTGAAATCTCGAAGCCTCGTTTGTCGGCTATTCGAGCAAGAGAGTCAAACATGCTTGGCAACTCTTCGATTTCCTCGTTGGACACAACAGTCATCGCTTCGTTAACGGTATTGGATTCACCACTTGATTCTTCATTTTCAACCCAGTCAAAGTACTCGCAATCCTCACTACAAGTTTTGAATAATCGCCCATTTTTATCGATGCTCTTTGCAACCTCAAAACACTTTCTGATTCTATGTGGACACCACGGGCATTGAATTTTTCTCTGGCAATCCTTGAAGTAATGCGTCGTGCTTCTACAACTGTGATAAACTCCAAAATTTGGCCCTTTCACCCTGAGATTAAGAACATACTCATTACAACAGCAAGATGCAAAATTATGCAAACTTGTGGGAACTCAGACTAAACTACTCGGTTTGCAGGGGTGTAAGAGTTCCCATCGTTTTACATACCTGAGATTGACAACAAACTCGTTGCAGACAGAATTGTAACGCGATGGAAACTCTTCCACCATAACAAACTCATTATAGGCAAATAGCAAAATGATGGAAACTCTTCCACTATTGCACATCAACAGATACAAACTCAAATTAAAATTAATTATAGGAGATTCAAACTCATAAAATTACAGGAAGAAATGCACACTGAAACAAATTTAAATCCATGTTAAGCAAATTTAGGTACCGACTAAAATTCATACTCGAAAATGGAAGCTCAAACGGGCTTTAAGGCAGTGAAATCTAAGTTCGTTAAAATCCTAACTTGTTTGAATATAACGCAGTGAAATGGCATCTTAAATGGTGATTATGGCAGTAAAATGCGAGTTCGTTAAAATACTGAGATGTTAGAAATCAAGACAGTGGAATGACATCTCAAACGGGATTATGGCATCTCAAAACATGGAGGAGATGTGACTAAGATAAAATACTACCTTGTTCTTGTCTTCTTTGGGTAGATCTGGAAAAAAAAATATTAAGCACGGTCGTCGATGGAAAAAAAGGAAATGGTGCGAGGTTGACTAAGAAAATGGTCGCTGATGAAGAAGATGAGCGGTGTGGCGTCGACTCCAAGAGCGGGCTCTCATCGATCCTCCACTGATTTCTCCATCCGAAGGTGCAAAGCAGAGCCACAAACGTGAAAAGCGAGAAATTGGAAGTGAAATGCCCTAACTGATTCAATTTGACGCATTTTGTGCCTTATCGTCCCTTTTTTTTTTTTTTTTTTAAATTTTCCCACCTCCCATTGCCACGTCAGCACATTTTTATAATCTGTAGGAGGCCTGTGAAAGGCCTTCTGTACGTGTAGAATAATTGTATTCATCTTGCCTTCAAAACAGAAAGTTCGCAAGATGTTATACCTCCAAGTCACTTAGCTCATCACGAACCTCGAAATCTTATCTAAGCTTATATGCAAGAAAAATGTATGGGGATCCCGATCCAGTCCAACCCATTTAATTTTTTATACGAAAAAAATAAATTTTGAATTTTTTTATTTTTTATTTTTACATATATCGACTTGAATTGTTTTTAGTATGATCTTGAATTCATCCGTCCTAATATGGTCATGCCTTGATGCCACAACAATGTTTTAATAGTCGGAGATAACATTTTTTGTTTTGTTAATCACATTTGTAGTTAAGCTAAACATTTGAAAATAGGATGGTGCTATAAGTACACGAAAGAGGTCACAACAACTATATAGGAATTCAAAATAAATGTCTTGGCTGGGGGGGGGGGGGGGGGGGGGGAAGAGTAAACAGAAAATTGGGAAAGATCTAACAAGACCAATTCTTTCTAATTCTATTTCTCATGTCCCCAAAAACCTTGCAGAGAAGTCCACTACTCACTTTTCTCGTCTTCGGCCAACTTCCGACTATCTGATCAGCATCCATGTCCGGCCACAGTATAATCACGAAAACCCACCAAATTGACACTGTAGATTTGAGAAATAATCTTGGATCTGTTGTTTAGGCTTTCTCTGCTTCACTACACAGTACACCAACCCCCCTAACTACACAAAAACCAGCTGAAAAAATTCTTAAGAATTATCTCTCATTTTTAATAGATAATTTATTTTTTATTTGTTGATATAATCGATTTACCTACTTACATTTCCCTTCAAACCATCAATTTTAACGCCAAACTGTAATTTAATTGGTCCCTCAAGTTTTCCATAATTGAGATTTTATTTTGAGCTGAATTAATGGCTATTCGTTCGGCTGCCATGAGCTTCAGTCGTGTCTCCTTGAATCGTCAAGCTTCTAGGTCATCCTACAGGTTATTGAGGCCCTTCGTTCTTAGCCATTGCGAAGTCAAGTCACTAGTTTTTTCTTCACCGTCGTGAATTCATTTTCACTCTTCAAAAATAAATCGAAGATACATAAGAAATAATCTTAAAATAACTTATTGAAGGTGGTCGGAGATGTAGGGTAATGAGCGATGAAGTGGCGGGGATTGTTTGAGGGAAATGGCATGGGTTCTTGCTTTTAAACCTAACATTGTTGACATTTTTCTTATTTTCCATTTCTTTTGCCTTTTTTAAATGTCAGCTAATCCTTTTCAAATTACTATACATTTTTTCTGTAAAATGTTTTCTGTACTTATAGCTTTATACAAGACTAAAATGTCCAAAAAATAGACATAAATTTTCATTTCAAAATGCAAAATAACATAATAATCTTCAAAATCAAACTTCTATTACTGCTAAAACTAAAATACTACTCTTGTTGAAAGATTATGCTTATGGACCAATTCTATTGGGAAGATTTCTTTTATATTGTGCTTTCTTGTTTTCTAAAAAATTTACATGATTATCGATTCAATAATATAGAAGTCAAGATTTAGTAGATCAACCGCCAATTAACTCCGCTTTTAAGAAAACTCTTCACAACTAAGCTTCTTAGTTTGAGACTCTGAGCAATCCTTCTTCTAATGTTCTCACATATCGCAGTTGAAACACTTGCCTTTGGACTTTTTTATCTGTTCTAGCCTTTCGAACTGATTTATTCATGGCTTTCTTATTTTGCTTTCCTTATTTACCTTTTGGCTTGAGACCGGAAGAACCAATTTCGACAAGGAAGTAAGCTCATCTTTGAACTAGTGACCCTTTCCACCATGGAGATAACTCATTAACTCTTGAATAACACGTTCATCTTGAGTAACCTACCTTGAATTGAACAAACAAATCAGATACAGAATTTAGAATCGTGTCATGCTGAGTGTTATTGTCAATGTTAGCTCCTATAACATTCGACTGGCTAAACAAAGCAATCATCATATAATCACCCAACTTTTATCATCTTTTTCTATAAACTAGTGAGGAAAATGTGCGTTGCATGTTAGTTGGTGAATGTTAAATATAAGCGTATGGTAGTTGTTGAACGGACATGCACGACAATACTTTATATAAACTAAAATTGAATAAAGCGCGCATATGTAAGTAGACGCAAGTGTTTGAGAGAAAAAAATGGATTTTACATTTGTATGCAAAGGTTTTTTTGTTGTTTAATGAATGTTTATAGAAGATGAATCTTTATAATACTCACCAGCCGAACGTCATAG